TAATGATGGCCACGGTAAAACATTAATTTTTTGCGACTTGAACCAAGCAAGATTGACTTTTGCCCGATGAACCGGCGCATTATCTTGTTGAAAAATCCAATCAGATCCCTCAATAGCATTGCCAATGTCAACTAGATGATTTTTTAGTACTTCTCGGTATCCGTTTGAATTCATTCGCCCATTTATGAAGCATATTGAGCTCTTACCACCCCACCCAAACGATGTCCAAATCATAACACTACCACCACCATGAGCACGACTTGAAAATATTTCTTCTTCTTTCCGTAGACCATACCAATGGTAAGAAAAACCATCAGGGCCATCCAAATTATTTTTTTTTTCGTCCGACCAAACGACTTTATGCCAATCGTTATTCCAAGTCATATGATCTTTGGCCCAGGTTAATCATAAATCCTTGTGTGCTGTTGTAAAAACAAGAGACCGCTTCTTTTTCATTTTTTTCTAGATATTCGACCTTTTTGTGACTCGATTGATTGTCCATCGTGACATTTTAAGACTTAAATCGGCAATAATATTGGCACAACATCTTGACTTGTTACTAGCAGTTCTTAAAATACGCCGTTTCGTGCGTTCATCGACCTTTTTTCTACGACCTATTCGTTTTCGTGTACCATATTTAAGTGGATCTCTCAAAAAATTGCTCACCACAGTCTTCGATCGGTTAATTTTGTCAGCAATATATCGATGAGACTTATTTTTCAGGTGTAGGTCTAAAACAGACCTTTTTTCGCTTTTCGTCAACTGTATGGCTTTGGGAATACTTTAGCGTAAATATTAATTGTTATCTGATTTGTTAATTTTACTTAAATTGACTCGTGATTCGTTTTTTACTATAGACCTATCAAGTGGTCTTATAATTATGCACCATACTGTATATGTATTAAATGCTTAGTTTTACCTTTTTGAAAAACAAATCTGTTGATAATATCACATAGTCAATAATCGAAACAGTTTTCTTTAACCTTTCACTATCAAAATACTTTAGCGGCCTTATTTCATAACAATGAAATTAACCATATCGTTTTTTTTCTGATGAAAAGATCATGTATGTAAGTGTGCGCACTTTCATAGTTTTGTATTATAATTTTATGTGCTTCTTATGAATGGATTGAAAATTAATTGATTAGAATATTCTGTAATTCACATATATATTTGAGTTTATTCGAAATTCTTACTATTAAAGCGATCATGATAACAGATATTAATGAGTTTTTTAAAATTCATACCACCAATTTCGTTCCAAAACTTACCGTAGCTATTTCTACAATGATTTTCTGGTGCTAATCTTTCATCGATTGCTTCTACATAAATGACATATCCTATCAATCAATTGCAAATAAAACAACCAACGGAGTCAAATAGACAATGTCATAAACGAAATGAAAGAGAGCGATATCAATTCATGACAAAATTTACGAAAGTTCTTGATATTTTAATATTCATATCATTTGTTTACCTCTGAATATTTTAATTTGTATAGAATCTAATGCATTTTATGAATAACAATATATTCATGATTTGCATATAGTAAAAGTAAACTACCTGTGTATTTAAAACAACTACAGCGTTGATATAAACTCTAGCGTGCTTGACTAGTGAGAGATTTGAATTACAGAAAAAGTTTACAGAGCATTTTGTCTTTTACGTATACGAGTAGAAGTAATATATTAGCATCTTAATCATTGTAAATCACCCATTATTAGCATTTCCTCTAATTCATGCTAATTTCTCATTCCTCTATTAGAGAATTCTGTAAAAAACGATTCCATCTATCATTGAAAGTAACAAATACCCATGAGATGAGTGGCTCTTATTGCAATCTTCTTATTTTTTTGTAGGTGCACTTGCTGTTCGTCAACGTTGGCAAGCCTACGGATGTAGCACTTCTAGAAGTCTGACTATCAATGGATGTTTCAGAGCAGCTGGCGAAGGCGTCATAATTTCATGCTGCAATAAACACGATTTATGCTATGAGACATGTAGCCGAACACAGACTCAGTGCGATATTGCGTTTAGAACGTCTCTCAATTCAATTTGTGATTCACTACGTAGTGATGGATTTAAATGGGGGGGGGGGGGGGG